AGTGAGTTTAGAGGGTTGCCTATTCCGGGAGCCCAGAGAGCGATTCCAGAAGACGGATCAATTTGCAGGGAAACTTTTATTGGTTCAGCAAAAGATTCCCTGTTAGCTAGCTATAAATGAACGACACCGTGGACGCTCTAGCTAGGGGAACAGATCAAGCACAGCACACAGAGCAGTCGCGCGTTGCAACCGAAGCGAGCGCCAAGCAAAAATGGCGATGAGCAAGTAAAGCATTCGAACTCAGCAATCAGTTCAACAAACCACACCGGTTGCCTAAGTGTACAATTATAGAATTTTGGTTAGAATTTTACACAGGCAAACCGGGGAATCTCCAGACTGCTACATGTACTTTGATAATCGAGATGAGTTGCCTCGTTTCCATGCCCCGTAAAGACCCGGTCGCTTTGGGCCTGAACGGGTACGGTTGAGCACCGCAGTTAACGATTCGCTTTCCTTTCGTGGTTTGACCCGGGATTTATTACGCGGTACTCGGGCCTTTAGCGAAGTTGTTACTTACACTCAGACAGATGAGATATGCGCATCAATCCATTGGTCAGCAAGTTTCCAACGTTTATGTAAGCCACACTTACCCCTAATTAGAGTTGCAAGTGTCGCCAAGGAAGGTAACAGCCATCAGTACACGCGTAGGCATACGCTACTTCAAGTGGCTTTCATTTAGTACATAACCGATACCGGCACTAGTACAGAGTATTATGGACAATTCGGTGTAAGTAATGCCTGGTTTAGGCACTTATCTAGAGAGCATCCTAATTTCTGTTCGCAATGAACATGAAAAAATGGTACCAGTTCCGACGGTCTTGAACCGTCTCTATGATAGTAGACTCTGGCTGGAGGAATACAAATGGGTGTTTGTCAAAGCTTTTGTGTAGTACCTTGGACAGCGTTTAGACAAACACGGTTTGCATCTGCTAATAAATCCAGCACGTCCTTGATCCCCGTGACTACGCAACCTCCTTGAACCACTCGCGTATAATGTCATGGTAACACACTATTGTGACCTACCTGTTTTGGCCACCTTGTGCTATGTTTGTGCTCTTTCACACACAAAATTGCAGATCGGCAGGGATCGCCTTGTGAGCAGATGTCTTTGGTTGTCGTCAAGGCAACCTTAGGTATAATAACATGCTAGTACATTTTATTCCGAGAACGCCCAACACTCTCTGATCTGAAGCACCAGGATCAAGACTTGTCGCCCTACCGTCCCAGAGGAGAAATGAGTAGACCTTGAAGCCTATCGCTTTAACCTCTAGGAGCTTATCGCTGGTAGAGAAGAGCCAGCACAGCAGGATAAAGTAGCGCTGGCAGTTATATTCGGCGTTGAGAAATTGCAGCACTATCTCTTGTGAAGTTGCCAAATTGTTAATTGTCCTAAACCCTTTGATGCCTCGGCTGATGCTTATAAAGACAACAGCCAGGTGTCCTCTCCCAGTATGCAACGTTGGACTTTACTGCTATCGGCTTACAGTTACACTCTCTTATGTCCTGTACTAGCAACTGGCATTGTGCATTATTTGGGCAGGTTGTCGTTAAAGCAGCTACCTGATTGTGTATTGGAACCGACTGAATTACTCCATTTGCTGTAGCACCTAATGAGGAGGCCGGTGTTGAACGCAGGTCTCTCCCGTAGGACAGCGCGATGTACTCCACTGCAAAGTTAAACGTTTTGTCTTGCAATCAGGGCCCCAAAAGTTGACACGGAATCCCTGCCTTACTTCAGTCGACATAGAAAAGCAAGCGTCTAGGATAAATGCCTCGAATGAAATTCCAGAGATATTGTACCCTCTCGGTTACGACATTATTGCTGGAGGAACTGCAAGAAGCTCACACAGATATCACTATGAGTAAAGGGCTCAGAAGGCCTGAGGTTTTGTTGCCAAGCATTGATAACGACATGAAAACAATCACCAGACGCTGCGAAGCAAGGAAACTTACACAAAGAAACCCGACCTGTGCCACTGAGCCCATTAACACTGCCGACAAGCCATTGGAACGGAAACAGGCAAACTACTTTCGTCCGCTTGATGTTAAGTTGTTTCTGCCCCTAGTCGATGCTCGTTCCAAATGGAGCGAGGTATTTTTGCTGGAACACGCCGCTTCCGGGATATTTATTTCCTGCAAGCGAAAATGGTTTAACACATTAGTTATACCACAAATACTAGGGACAAACAGATGCTCTTCATTCACTAGTCAACCATTCCAAGAGTTCCTTCGAACTTACCACATCAGGCCTGTAAAGACCACCTAGAACTTCCCAGGCTTGAAGCAAAGGGCAGAAGAACAGCCCAGACAGTAAGAAGCAGGTTGCAGATACAGTCATCTGCTCCTCTCAAAACGGATTTGAACAAGTTTCTATTCGCTTACTGCCAAACCCCAAATGAAACGACAGGCAAGAGTCCAAGTTAACTGCTATTAGGCCGAAGGCGTAGAGTACGGCTTGACCTGCTTTTATCGATCAGAGACTAAGTTTCGAGGTACGACATAAGCAACCCAAAGTGAAGTGTGATCAAAATGCTTTCGCTCGACAACTCCGCGGAGACAAGACAGTTTACGTCAGCTCCCCAAGAACCGACTTGGTAACTTGCAGATAGGCTTAATAGAAGGCCATGAGCGGGGGTGGCACTCCCGGACGGTCGGGTAGTTGCCCAACAACTACATCACGTCCATGGTAATTCGGTTCCGACCGGGCTAGCTGACATATTGTTAAGTCCACCAACCTAGTCAGCATTCACGGAGGCAAAGCCGACCACAAGCCAGCCAGGAACATTTTCGACATTTCGCCCGACAGCAGTATACTATAGAGTTAATCGTTAGCAGGCTGTCTGGGGAAGTACAAACAAAAAGGATGGGATGGTAGCATGGGAGTTACTATCACCAGTTGATGTTCACACATAACATTGGCTGTGCGAGAGTATGACCGTCTATCAATTACTCCCCCATTAGTGGCTTGGTCTCAGTTGCTTAATCGATGCTCTGTGCAGGCTCTTGCGAGAATAAAGGTGGGTTGCCGCACGCTCGGTGCGTTCTACTGTCCCTGAGGGGGGCCAATTTCACCCCCCCCCACCATTTTATCCACCACATCAACTCAATCTATACCGCTCAACCCCCCCCCCCCCCCCCCCCCCCCCCCCCCCCCCCCCCCCCCCCCCCCCCCCCCCCCCCCCCCCCCCCCCCCCCCCCCCCCCCCCCCCCCCCCCCCCCCCCCCCCCCCCCCCCCCCCCCCCCCCCCCCCCCCCCCCCCCCCCCCCCCCACCCCCCCCCCCCCCCCCCCCCCCCCCCCCCCCCCCCCCCCCCCCCCCCCCCCCCCCCCCCCCCCCCCCCCCCCCCCCCCCCCCCCCCCCCCCCCCCCCCCCCCCCCCCCCCCCCCACCCCCCCCCCCCCCCCCCCCCCCCCCCCCCCCCCCCCCCACCCCCCCCCCACCCCCCCCCCCCCCCCCCCCCCCCCCCCCCCCCCCCCCCCCCCCCCCCCCCCCCCCCCCCCCCCCCCCCCCCCCCCCCCCCCCCCCCCCCACCCCCCCCCCCCCCACCCCCCCCCCCCCCCCCCCCCCCCCCCCCCCCCCCCCCCCCCCCCCCCCCCCCCCCCCCCCCCCCCCCCCAACCCCCCCCCCCCCCCCCCCCCCCCCCCCCCCCCCCCCCCCCCCCCCCCCCCCCCCCCCCCCCCCCCCCCCCCCCCCCCCCCCCCCCCCCCCCCCCCCCCCCCCCCCCCCCCCCCCCCCCCCCCCCCCCCCCCCCCCCCCCCCCCCCCCCCCCCCCCCCCCCCCCCCCCCCACCCCCCCCCCCCCCCCCCCCCCCCCCCCCCCCCCCCCCCCCCCCCCCCCCCCCCCCCCCCCCCCCCCCCCCCCCCCCCCCCCCCCCCCCCCCCCCCCCCCCCCCCCCCCCCCCCCCCCCCCCCCCCCCCCCCCCCCCCCCCCCCCCCCCCCCCCCCCCCCCCCCCCCCCCCCCCCCCCCCCCCCCCCCCCCCCCCCCCCCCCCCCCCCCCCCCCCCCCCCCCCCCCCCCCCCCCCCCCCCCCCCCCCCCCCCCCCCCCCCCCCCCCCCCCCCCCCCCCCCCCCCCCCCCCCCCCCCCCCCCCCCCCCCCCCCCCCCCCCCCCCCCCCCCCCCCCCCCCCCCCCCCCCCCCCCCCCCCCCCCCCCCCCCCCCCCCCCCCCCCCCCCCCCCCCCCCCCCCCCCCCCCCCCCCCCCCCCCCCCCCCCCCCCCCCCCCCCCCCCCCCCCCCCCCCCCCCCCCCCCCCCCCCCCCCCCCCCCCCCCCCCCCCCCCCCCCCCCCCCCCCCCCCCCCCCCCCCCCCCCCCCCCCCCCCCCCCCCCCCCCCCCCCCCCCCCCCCCCCCCCCCCCCCCCCCCCCCCCCCCCCCCCCCCCCCCCCCCCCCCCCCCCCCCCCCCCCCCCCCCCCCCCCCCCCCCCCCCCCCCCCCCCCCCCCCCCCCCCCCCCCCCCCCCCCCCCCCCCCCCCCCCACACACCCCCATAATTATAATTATATATTATCTAATTATAATATATATTTTACGTACCTTTCGGGGACATCCTGTTCCTTATCGCGGATTCTATTTCTAACCAACTTTACTTCATACCGCTAAGTTAGCGTATTTAGGTCTAGCTTAGCCGTATGCTTAACGATTAGACGTCAGTTGAGAAGGGTTCCTTTTATTAAGTGATTAGTTGGTTGCTTGGTATCCAAGGTACTGTTGGCTGCGTTGATGGGACAGTGTTGACAAACTGCGTACCTGTCGATTACCCACAACTCGTCCATCACTGGCTCCAAGAAGAGCAGGTTGGTCGTAGCTGGGGGCATGAGTATGCACAATCCTTGTGGCGTAGCTAGGATCGCAGTGTGGTGTCCATGCACTCAGTGTGGAGACCCCCCGCGCAGCCCTCCCCCCCCCCCTCGGGAGCGAGCTTCCTATCTAATTTCTTCGACTGGTTACGTCGCGTCCGCCTTGTTGAAGAGGCACGCCCGGGGGGGGGAGCCCCTCGGCAATGTCCGGCCCTCCGAGCTCGGAGCCCGAGGCCCTGCGATGGCCCGTTGTTGACTGTGATCGCATTTCTTTTGTCTATATTGTTTTGATACTTTTTGGGGGAAAGTAAATAAACAAGGTAGCGATGGGGCGGGGGTCGGGGGTGGGGGATGGAAGGGATTATCAACAACGCGCAACGCCATCCTAATACACCTGCGCCGAGGGCGTACCCTTACGCTGTTAATTGATAGTTTTAAGCGTGAGGGGAAGGGATAAGTGCTCCCTCCTATGGCCGGGGAGGGAAATTGGGGGAGTTTCGGGGGGTATTGGGCAAAACAACGACAAAACAAGAAAAAAAAGAAAAAAAAAATGCAAACCGCGCCGGCCCCCTACGACGCAGACCCGCCTTGGATGCTCCCCGCACGCCCGGGGGGGGCTGGGGAGGTGGTGGGGGGGGGCATGGTAGGGGGGGCGGGGGAGCGGGGGGGGGGGGGGGCCCCTTATGTGCCTCATCCCGGGTGCCTCCCCGGAGGATTTCCCGACTCCGCCACCTATTTGGCCGCACGCCCGCGCACTGTCCTCAGAGTGTGTCCGCATGCAGTATGCACAATCCGTCACTCGTGTGAGCCCCGGGCGAGGAAATATGAAGGATAAGTGTAAAGTTGTGGTGAAGCCGGGGTGCAGCGGGCGGGACCCCGCCCCCCCACACCCCGCGGGAGCGGAAGAAATGGAAGGAGGAGGGAGTGGCCAGAGGGGGCGGCTTCCAGGGGTGGTGGTGGCCGCGGCCGTGCCCGCGCGGAAAGGGGGACCAGCCGGGGAAGGGGGGTGTGAGGAAGGAGTGGCGGGGGGGGGGGGGGGAGAGTACCCCAAGTCAGGTGGTTATATATTTTTTTTCAAAACAGTGCGGATTGTGCAATGAATGGAGGGAAGTAGAAAATGGGAAGAAGGTGATACGAAGAAAGGGTCAGAGGGTAAAAGGAAGAAAGATGAAAAAGGGGGGGGGCTAAGGCAACAGAAAAGGGAAAAAAAAAGGCGAGGGGGAAGACTCCACAGAGGTGGGTGGAGCGTCCCACTCAAGACACACACTGCTGTTTTCTTCCGCCCGCGCTACCGGCTGCACCCCTCGCGGGGGGGGGCGGGGGGGGGGTTGGCTGGGTCGGGGGGGGGGGGTTTAGTTCGGGCGTTCATTGTTGCCTCCTCACTCCCGGGGTTCCGTTGTTGTTTGTGTTGAGAGGAGAGACGAGAGTCCTGGACCCGTGTCGAGGGACCGATCTTCCAGCCACCACACCCTGGCTCGGGTCGCGGCCTGTGGCGGGAGACCACGCCCGCCCGCCCGCACCCCCGGATTTCGGCGGCTAAGCAGCGGCGCCCCCACGAGAACCCGGAGGGAAAGCTGGGCCGCGAACCGGGCCATCATCCCACGACCACACACCAACACCTGCACGGGGAAAAACGAGGAGGGTCTCAGAGCGATTCCGATGGGGAACGGGTTGGTAGATATAAATCTGGAGTGCCACGACACGAAGCGTAGACGTGGGGTATAGAGGGGCGTAGCCAAGCTGGGACCGGGGCGTGATGAACGTTGCAGCTCGAAGATAGTCGAGGCGACAGTCCGGGACGTCGTGGGCAACGCCCGGGCGCCGGTCGGCGTTGGAGAGTGCGGCCGGTGGCTTGCTGGACGGATCTCATCTCCGCTCGTGTCCTTCTTTATTTACTGCCTGTTTTCTCTTCGTCGGTTTGTGCGGCGTGGGGTTATAGTTACCCCTTCTTGCGCTTCTGCATCCTTATTGTCCCGCTCCAACTTTACTTATATCCTCCCCATTTTCAATCCCCCAATTCTTAGCCCTCCCCCACCTTACTTCAATAGTCGCTTGTATTCTACTTTCAAATCACTCACAATCGCAGGGCCTCGCTCCAATCCAGTCGATAAGTCCATGTTCAACCAAGCGGACAACGTCAGTTCATCCGTTTCCCTTTGGAGTCCTCGTGTCTCGCTAAGATTGGCATGCCTCAACGTGCGAACTTTGCTGCAGATTGGCCAACAGGCAGCACTTGCCCGCACACTAGAGACCCTATCGATCGATATTTGCTGTTTATCAGAAACCCGCCTGCAAGATTCGAGCTCCGTGCTTACCCTGAGATCCCCCACATGCGACACTGGCGGCACATTCTCATTGCGCCTATCTGGCGATGATGCAGCTTCAAATGCCGATCAAGCTGGCGTCGGCATTGTTTTAAGTCCCCGGGCTGAAGCTGCCCTGCTTGATTGGATCCCAGTAAACAGTAGGATGTGCGCCGTTAGATTACCTGGTTCGTTCCGTGCTTCGAAGTCGCGCGGGGACAAACGGTGCCTGTTTGTCATTGCGGCCTACGCCCCTACAAACTGTAGCACTGAATCGGTAAAAGATGATTTCTATCAGCAACTTCACGAGCTCCTTCGTTACAGAAGAAGCACGGATACTGTGGTGCTGGCTGGCGATCTAAGCGCCCAAGTCGGAAAATTGTCCTCTGATGAGCTTCATCTGGGCGGCCAACATGGTGTAGGCTCCCGTAATGATAATGGTGAGCGATTGCTCCAGCTGTGTGAAGATGCTCGCCTGTTTCTCGCGAGCACTAATTTTCGACACAGCACCCGCAGAAGTGTGACTTGGCGGCCACCAGCCTCGGGCCAGTCATGGACGCAAATCGATCATATCGCGATCAGTTACCGCTGGAGAGGCTGTGTCCAAAACTGTCGCTCGATTTAGAGCACGAGCGTGGACTCTGACCACGCACTTGTATGTGCCGACCTCCTGGTGCGTTTCGGTGGACGTCCGCGACGTCGATGTGAACGGATTGACACCAGCCAGCTGGCGAAGCCAGATGTTCTGAATGTGTACCAAGATGCGCTGACATCTGGGCTGAGTAAGCGCCCACTAAACACCGTTGAAGATCACTGGTCGCACACTCGTCAAGCGTTGCTATTAGCAGGCATGTCTTCATGTGGCAAAACAAATTGCAAATCCGAACATTGGGTCTCTACACAGTCTCTGGAACTTATGGATGCTCGCCGACGTATTCCGGCTGGAAGCGAATACAATGAATCTCGTAAAAATCTCAGGGCGAAACTACGTGCTAGCCTAAAGAAGGACCGCGAAACCTGGTGGTCTCATCGTGCCTCTGAGATGGAAACAGCCGCTGCCATTGGTAATCATCGTAAGTTATACCGTCTGATACGGGCAACAGGCAGCAGGAGACCTGGTGTTAGCGAGACCATACGCGACGAGAGTGGGCAGATGATCCACAGCCTGTCAAAACGCTTGGAGCGTTGGGCTGAACACTTTGCTATGCAATTTAACCAAACTGAGTTATCACTTTCTTCGGGCATTGAGCGCCCTTCTCCTTGGGCCGTCTCCTTGGATCCGCCCTCACGCACAGAAGTCGAACGTGAGATCAGGCTGTTGAAATTGCATAAGGCCGCAGGAGCAGATACTATTCCTCCAGCCCTCTTCAAGTTCGGTGGACCTGCTCTAATAGATGATCTACACGAGTTGCTAGTAAAACTTTGGGAGCAGGAGACAGTCCCGACAGACTGGAACCGCTCCGTCATTGTCCCAATTTTCAAGGGAGGCTCCCGTTTGGAATGTGGCAATCATAGAGGGATCAGTCTGATTTCGATTGCCTCTAAATTGCTTGCCTCATTCTCCACAGACTGACTGGCACTCGTGAAAGCCAAATTCGTGAAGAGGTCGGGGCTGCATCGACCACATCTTCACATTGCGTCAAGTGTTGGAGCACCGCCATGTTTATTGGCGACCCACCGTTGTCGTGTTTCTTGACATAAAAGGTGCCTTCGATTCAGTCGATCGATGTGCCCTTTGGGACTGTCTGTTGAGGAAAGGTGTGCCTGATAAATATGTAAACATTATCAAAGCGCTGTATGCGCATAGTTCGGGCAGGGTGAGGGTTTCTGGCGAACTCTCGCCACGCTTCAGCATCACCAGCGGTGTGAGACAAGAATGCCCGCTGTCACCTTTCCTCTTCAACTTCGCTATTGATGAAGTCATGGAAACAGCGTTCGCTGGACACGACCTAGAAGGTATGGAGCTACTCCCTGGTGAGCGACTTCTTGACTTGGAGTATGCAGACGATATTGCCCTAATCTGTGACAGCTCCCAAACATGCCAAACAGCACTGAACCGATTAGCACTGGCTGTCAGTCGTTTTGGGCTATGCTTTGCTCCATCAAAATGCAAAGTACTTCTCCAAGATTGGCAGGGACCCAACTTTGCGCTAACGCTTGGTGGTGATCTGCTAGAAGTCGTTCAGGAATTTAAGTACCTGGGCAGCTATATTAGCACCCGTGGGATTGAAGATGAGGTTACGAACCGTATAGCAAAAGCTCGAGGTGCTTTTGCCAATCTCCGCCACCTGTGGCGCAGACGCGACATTACTCTCGCCCTGAAGGGCAGAGTTTACAACGCAGCCGTCCGTTCAACTCTCCTATATGGCTGTGAAACCTGGCCCATCAG